CGCAGAGAGTGTGTGTGTGTGTGTGTGTGTGTGTGTGTGTGTGTGTGTGTGTGTGTGTGCGTGTGTGTGTCACATGAAACCCACTGGCAGGTCAGGCTAAGCAACCTCCTCTCATGATAATCCTCTATGCATCAGAGACTCGTGCACATGACACCTATAGATTAAACTTTTTGTTCTGTTGTGGTGAGTGACCTTCTCATGTGTTTGCTCATAGGACACTATAGGCTGGTGTTCTTTGGTGCTGGTATTTTCATCATCATCTTGCAGTTGACCTCATCTCAACTGTTTTATCTGAACATATTCTGTCCTTTGACAGTTAGTTTTGTGTCAATGCTGTTAAGTTTTTTAAAATTAAAAGTAATTCTCCTCACAATGAGTGTTTGATTGTATAAACGCAACTGAGTTGAATTAATTCTCTTTGTCTCTTTCTCTCTTTTTTATCCTTCTCCCTCCCTTTCTTTCCTCTCTTTTCATCCTTTTCTTTGCTCAGGTGCCAGACCCAGTGATTCAACCCCAGAGAGGACACAAAGGAAGAGGCAGAAGGGTTGCCATGGGGGTGAACCTGGGCCAGGATATAAGCTGGCCTTTCCTCTTATTGCTGCTCACGATCACAGTGTCTTCCATCCAAAGCCAGGGATGCCCTCAGCGCTGTGAGTGCATGGCTAAGCTAAAGACTGTGTCCTGTAATGGTAAACGTCTGTCAGCACTGCCAGATGGAATCTCACCAGACACCAAGGTTTTGGACCTTAGTGGGAATAAACTGCGCTGGATAGAGCATGGCGACCTGCTTCCATATCCACGTCTGGAGAAGCTGGACCTGAGCGATAACATGATCAGCGTTCTAGAGCCCAATGCTTTTTCTAGTCTTCAGAACTTGCAGTCACTTTCACTGAGGGGTAACCAGCTAAAACTGGTTCCCATGGGGGCTTTCTCACGTCTCTCCAACCTAACGTCATTGGATCTTAGTGGAAATAAGATTGTAATTCTACTGGATTTCACCTTCCAAGACCTGAAGAGTTTGAAAAACTTGGAAGTTGGGGACAATGATTTGGTTTACATATCAAATAAAGCCTTTTTGGGTCTAGTGGGGCTGAGAGAGCTGACGATTGAGAGATGCAACCTGACTTCAGTGTCCAGCCAGTCATTGTCTTACCTGCATAACCTCGAGACTCTGCGTCTCCGCTACCTCAACATTTTCTCCTTGGATGACCAGAATTTCCGAAAGCTGGGAAACCTGAGGGGTCTGGAGATTGATCACTGGCCCTTTTTGGAATATATCTCCCCCCACAGCTTGCAGGGTCTTAATTTGTCTTGGTTGTCTATCACGCACACCAACATCACCTCTGTGCCCACCTCTGCCCTCCGCAGTCTGGCTTACCTCACCTCCCTCAACCTGTCGTACAACCCTATCTCTGTGTTGGAGTCCTGGGCTCTGCGGGATCTCCTCAGGCTCAAGGAGCTGCATTTGGTCAACACTAACCTGGCTGTAATACAGCCTTACGCACTTGGGGGTCTCAGGCAAATCCGTCTTCTTAATTTTTCCATGAACATCTTGACAACCCTGGAGGATGGAGCCTTTCAGTCTGTCAACACTCTGGAGACGCTGCGTTTGGACGGAAACCCTCTAGCCTGTGACTGCCGCCTGCTCTGGATCCTTCAGCGCAGGAAGACCCTCAACTTTGACAATGCGCCCCCAGTGTGTATGACACCTGTTGAGGTGCAAGGACGGGCTCTTAGCGCGTTTTCTGACTCAGCTCTCTTTGATCACTTTACCTGTCAGAAGCCCAAAATCCGTAACAGGAAGTTACAGCAAATATCTGCCCGTGAAGGTCAAGTAGTATCATTCATCTGCAGAGCAGATGGTGAGCCAACACCCGTCATTTTCTGGATTTCTCCACAGCGGCGCCGCATAACTACAAAAAGTAGTGGCCGACTCACTGTGTTACCAGAAGGCACACTGGAAATACGGTATGCCCAGGTAACCGACAGTGGAACATACATCTGTATAGCCAGCAATGCTGGTGGGAATGACACCTACTTTGCTACCCTCACGGTAAGCGGGCTGCCATTAGATGCAGCCCTGATGGCCAACCGTACCTACTACGCCGGCGACCTTAATGACACAAATCTGAATGATACCAAAGTTTTCTTGAAGTTCACTCTTGACCTGAAGACCATCCTTATATCTACAGCGATGGGTTGCATCATGTTCTTGGGAGTGGTCCTGTTCTGTTTCATTCTGCTCTTTGTGTGGAGTCGAGGAAGAGGGCAGCACAAGAACAATTTCTCAGTAGAGTATTCTTTCAGGAAAGTGGATGGACCCACAACCAGTGGGGGACAAGGAGGAGCACGCAAGTTCAACATGAAAATGATCTGATTGCTCTGATATTCTACCTTTTTTTTATCCCATAACTGTTTTTATCACCCACAAGCTAAGGCACACAACAGACAATAAAGTAGACTCTTTTTAAGACTTTTTTTGCAGGACAAGCTTTTGTTATTGAAAGCTAACTATATGCATGCAAAAGGCATTGCTTTGACATATTTCCTCTGCTCATTGATGTGTTCACATCATGGTGCAGTAAAACTGAATTAGACTGGATGAACATTTGAACAGACTGTTAAAAGACCAATCTGCAAATGTACTCAGTGTCCCGCTGGTCTCTGCTCCTGCCAACTCAGACCTTATTTCCTACAAGGAACTTCCTCTTCCTCACCTATTAAGGACTCTATTCCTCTCCGCTCCAGCTGAGAGGATTTTAACGATGTCTCCAAACTGATAAAAAACGTAATTACAAGTTTGTGTTCAGTGATTGCCAAGGACTTGCCAATATATATTTGGATAATTTCACTTATTTAATGCGTATTTTAACTCATATGTGGTTTTGAAAGTCCTGCTTATGAATGCGTTTTACTGATAGAGTTCGACCAGGACACCACTCATTACATCACTGCCAACTTGACGACACAGCACCGTGTAATTTTTACAGTCCGTCTGTCAAAGTTGTTGAATTTGTTCAGAGCTGAAGTGAGATTCCACAGATTAAGCTGCAGTGGGGCTCCAGTGCACAACTGTGTGGTGACAAAAATCATGCAGACGTTTTGTAGTTACATTTTTCATTGTTGATCAGTAAATCTGTGCATATGAAAACATTTAAAAACAGTAAAAATAAAAAATGAAGGCATGTACAAACTTTGCGCCTTACTTGGAATAGTTTATATACATTTCTTTGTAAATTAAACAGCTCCTGAGGTGCACTTATCACCCAAGTTCTGCAGATAGGACAGGACATGTATAAGATGTAACATATATATTTTATAAGCATTGACTTTGAATTCCTTGTTGTTTAGAGTACTGTCACGTGGGATGATTCAGATTTTTCCATTAGAGGTTTACTTTTGGAGTCAGACATGCCGAGTTTAATTATAAACAGAACTTTAACGGTGCAACTGCATCATCGTTTAAGCTGTGAAACTAGCTCACACTCACATTCAAATCATAAAGGACATTTGTGGCGGGTTTCACTTCAGTTGCCTATTTTTGGACATGTAAACGTCAGTGAGGAGGTTTGCTGAGCAGCGAGTGAAAGGCTTCAGTTGGTTCTGAACAGGACTTAAAAGAGCTCATGCGGGGAAAATGTTAAAAGCACTGAAAACTTTACACATAGGTCACTGTGAAAGTGAGCCAGAGACGGAAGTGAGTACAGATGTTCTAGGAAACAGAGACAACAAAGGGCTGCATGATAACTTTTAAAACTTTAGGCAAATGGCAGGTGACTATCATAAGAAGAGTCCAGGCAGAATGGATTGAAGGAGACTTCATTAGGATGAGAACGGTAAATTTAGAGTTTAATTCTGCTCATTCTGTTGATGCTGTTCTAGATGAAAAATCTCATCTCTTGTATCCCTTATTCAACCACAGTGATCATATTTCTGTCAGTGGTGTTCTGCTGCCTCCTGTTGGCTCAAATCTGTCATTTCTTTTGACTTCAAACTGTACAATAATGATTCCTCCAAAAATAATTTTTAAGCTGACTTGAATCTAATTATAAAAATATTTTATTAGGTTTTTTTTTTGTTATACTGCACAGAAAAAGGCTCTTCTCTCACTTTATTTTAAATCCTCCATTATTAAACTGCATATTTACCATCAGCCTCTTTGAGTGGTGAGCTTGTTGACTGAAAGATCAGCTAATCTTCCAGTTTGTTTTTAATGTGAACATTTCAGTTTCAGGCATTTTTTGTGTCTTTGACTAAATTCGTGTTGTAACTATCAACATCACTGTGTCTAGAAATTGTGTACCAATGTTTTGTATTGTAATGTTTTATAAGGAATTAAAAACACAGTTTTAGAAGCCTGCTGTATTAATGTATATTTATTGATAAGATGATGACTTTTCTCCTTTCCATTATTGCAGCTTTAGGAGGCAGTTTGAAAACTATGATGATCATAGAGTTTATAGTACACCTGTGCCACCTTCCACGCTCTGTGAAACCCCATTTCTGTTTTCATTTTTATATATTTCCCCAGGGATCCATCCTAATGTAATTTTAAAATAAAAAGAACATATGTGCTGCCTTCGCACACACATACCCATTGAACAAATAGATGTTTTTTTATAAATAACTTAGGTGAAAATATAACCATATCATGTATACAAACGATTGTCACCTGCCATCAAAAATAGAGGATATTAATGTTTTTGCCTATTTCTCTCTGTGTCAACAAAATATCCTATGAACCTCAGAAAACAATGGTCTACAACCTACAGATGGTTCTCAATGATGTCCTCATCCGGGACTTTTTTACAGTCTGCATCGTGTTCGTGGGCTAGTATTTAGCTTCTAGCGAGAAAACCAGTATGGGAGAACCACAAAAGCAAAGGAGAAAAATTACAATACGGTCATTGAACGACACAGACCAGCATTACCAGGATCATAATACATTTTATTTAAAAATTACCTTTCAGGACACTCAAGAATACACTGGATGATTAATCTAAATCAAGCTATTTAAACTACATTAAAAGCAATGACACACACCAGCTGCTGAAGTCTGCAAAGACGACACAGAGGCTGTGTTGATCACATGATCTGCAGGTCGCTACGTTACTTGAGAACCATCTATTATAATTGGAAAGTAACCCCATTCAATATGGCCGCAATAGCCAACGTTTCAAACACACAGAAAAGGCCATAACTTGGCCAGTTTTACAATTATTGAGCTGAAATTAAGTGGGTTCATAGTTGATCATCATTCCCAACACACACTCAAATTACTACTACATTTGTGCCATATTTTTACAATAAGTGTTGACTTCAACTCTGTCAGCAGAGTATCTCCTGAACCATTGAATGGATTTAAGAGTGCCTGTGACATCCAGTTTTTGTAATAAATATGAATGCATTTTTTAAATGATAACATTGAAAACAATTTCACACCGCTGAGATGTACAGCTGTTGAGATATTTGCATTTGAAGTGACAGGAAGTGATGTCAAAGAGGAACATCTGAATGTGAACAAAGCTTTGCTACAGTGCTGGCAACACAGACTGTAGAGAAATCTGATGTTTCTTTAAATTATTCTGAGTCACTGTCAGAGAGAAATGAAGAGAAGTCAGAGCTCATATAAWATTGTTTCAACAAGATCAGAGAGTTCCTTTTCTTAAAGAACTCCCACTTCCTCTTTCAAGTCCAAAAGAAAATATGCCAGTTGTGTGATAAAATAGTTAAAATACTACGAAAATTTCTTAAATATAAAGATGTTTTCTTTGACTTGTTATATTTGATGGATATAAAAGTCACAGGCACTTTACTCAGTACTCAAAAAGTAATCATTGCATGTGTATCTACAACTCATTGTTAGGAATCAACCAAAAATAAAGATGTCCACTTCAGCTAAATGACTTGAGCCAACACAAAAATGGCTACATGTCAGTCTGTTTTATTGAGCTCAAATTTCATGCAGAAGCATGTCATCCCCAGCATTCTCCGAGCGCCGACACGTGCAGGAAATTTTGCTTAACATTTTTTTACGTAGTTTAATCAAAAGATCTATAACTCCATCTCATCTCAGTTCCAGGAGGTTTTCAGAATAATGCAGACTCACATGCAAACAAAAAATGCTGAAAACATACACAAACTCATGGAAACGGGGAGGCACAAAGAGAATATGAGGAGGAAGACAAGTTTKTAGGACAAAAGCCAAATAACTGTCAGCTGATTGGATACACCTGGTGCTGAATGCAGACTGGGATGTGGGAGGGGGCGTGGCATGTTGACTGAGAGAAGCAGGAGAGTGAAATGATGTCATGGAAGAACACCAGGAAAAACACAGGTAACAAACTAAACCCGTGATCAGAACACATCAAATAAATTGAATCATCAAACACAAATGGTTTAAAACAAAACGAACAAAAACAGAGATCCTCAGTTTGAAACATGGCATGAAGTGTGAATGGGATTATTTATTACATTCATAAAAAACTTACATCCTCAATTGTACTGATAAAGTTCCCCTCATTATTTTAAATGACTCATCCTAAAACTGTGAAAACAACTGTTTTTTTTTCACATTGCTTTACTCTAATAAAAAATGTAAATCTAATGCCACTTCTCTAAAAACAGATCATCAAATATTTTTTAAAGGCCAGCTGTGAAGCTATTGTGTGCAAAACATTTTAAACCATCTCTAATTTCTCTGTTTAATTTAACTTCTAGTCAAACTGTTTTAAAAACAATCTGAATCAAGTATTAGCCRGGCTTTCTGAAGGCCTTTAAAATGTTTTCCTCAGACTTTGGCTGCCTTTTTTGAGCATTTGGCATATAATGCTTTTATGGTAAAGTACAAAGACCGGAGAGAAAATGAAACAGCAACCAAAAGTAAAATAAATAATTAAAATAAACCTTTGAAGATCTGTAGAAAACATTAGGATCTACTCATTCTGATCACTCTAAATGACTAGAAGATAGTTTCACTCCTTGGAAGCAAATCACAGTATGATTWTATTTCATATAAAACCCTATACTACATTTACTTTAAATGTTTTAGCTATTTGAAATACATTGTGCCTATAGCTTGTAGAAACTGTCCCATTTTTTGTTTAAATTTAGCAGATTGTTTTTTTAATGTCACAGTCATACTCTTAACTAGAYACTGTAGATGTACTTTTCTCATTTGTCTTTAATAATTGAAAAAGAAAACGCAGACAAAAAGCACGMGTTTGAATTCTTTGTGTTCATTTGAGCTCTATGCAGTACCGGAGGCAAAACTGCACTTCCTGTTTTCTATTTCTTTTAACTTCTGTTAACTTAGCATCTGTCAGTTAAAGTAGACATACCATGCTTTTAAATCTTCAATTTTTCACATTTAAATCATTAAGYTGGGGTCAATATAAAGTGGAACTGCACAGCGTTGGTCTGAATTCCTCCTTATTGTAGCTCCACAAGCCCCTCGTTCACCCCTTTTCTGAGGTGTGTCTCAACTCGTTTTGAGGCTGTCTCTTTAAATTRCAACRAGGCTTTTCACACCACGCCCCCTTCAGCTTCCAGTGGTCCATTCTAGTTTGGTAGAGGGGTTTATGACTATGTAAAAGCGCAGAAACTTTTTCTTTTACAAATTAAAACAACAGAAAACTTCACCAAACAGAATGCAAAAATTTTTATGCAGCAGGGAGAGACCAAATTATTTTTCCCATTAAACAAAGACATGTTTGATRCCATCAGAAAGCTCATAAAAAACTATTTCTACATAAAGTTAAAACAAGCAGTTGAATCAAAAAGTAAGCAAATTGTACAAAAGGGCGTCAACACAAATTTGTAAATACAGTAAAGCATGTCTGTAATATACAGTATATATA